CAAAATCGAAAGAAAATGGCATTTCTAGAAAATCGCCTGAAATCTGTGATAGTACCCCTTTGGAATCTCGAAAAAATTCACTCGGAATGAATCCCCCCAAATCGGTGCTTAATGGACTCAATCATCGCTGAAGAATAGCCTCAGACCGAATCCATAATCTGTAGCCTTCAATATCCAAAGAAAATGGCCTTTCGTCGCGCAAAAAATTGCGAAAATGCCATCCGAAAATAAATTGGCTCAAATCGGTGCTTAATGGACTTATCATCCGTGGAGAATAGGATCAATAGACTTCATTATCGGTGGAGAATATCCTCGGTCTGATTCCATGATCTGTAGCCTCCAGAATCGAAAGAAAATGGCATTTCTATAAAATCGCCTGAAATCTGTGATAATACCCCTTTGGAATCTCGAAAAAATTGACTCGGAATAAATCCCCCCAAATTGGTGCTTAATGGACTCAATCATCACTGAAGAATAGCTTCGGGCAGAATCCTTGATCTGTAGTATTCAATATCCAAAGAAATTGGCCTTTCGTCGCCCAAAAAATTACAAAAATCCATCCGAAAATAAACTGGCTCAAATAGGTGCTTAATGGACTTATCATCCATGGAGAATAGGATCAATGACTTCATTATCGGTGGAGAATAGCCTCGGTCTGATTCCGTGATCTGTAGCCTCAGAATTGAAAGAAAATGACATTTGGGAAAAATCGGCCGAAATCTTTGATGGTACCCCCTTTGGAATCTGCCAAAAATTGACCCGAAATAAATCCCCCCAAATTGGTGATTAATGGACTCAATCATCGCTGAAGAATAGCCTCAGGCCGAATACGTAATCTGTAGCCTTCAATATCCAAAGAAAATGGACTTTCGTCGCCCAAAAAATTACGATTATGGAATCCAAAAATAAATTGGCACAAATCGGTGCTTACGGGACTTATCATCCGTGGAGAATAGGATCAATAGTCTTTATCGGTGGAGAATAGCCTCGGCCTGATTTTGTGATCTGTAGCATCCAGAATCGAAAGAAAATCGCATTTCGGAAAAATCGCCCGAAATCTGTGATGGTACCCATTTTAAATCTGTCGAAAATTAACCCGGAATAAATCCGCCCAAATCGGTGCTTAAATGATTCAATCATCGTTGAAGAATAGCCTCAGGCCGAATCTGTGATCTGTAGCCTTCAATATACAAAGAAAATGGCATTTCGTCGCCCAAAAAATTACGAAAATGCCATCCGAAAATACCATAACAGATTTCGACCGATTTTTCCGAAATGACATTTTCTTTCGATTCTTGAGGCTACATATCAAGGAATCAGGCCGAGACTATTCCCCACCAATAATGAAGTCTATTAATCCTATTCTCCAAGGAGGATAAGTACATTAAGCACCAATTTGGGCAAATTTATTTTCGGATTGCATTTGTGTAATTTTTTGGGCGACAAAAGGCCATTTTCTTTGTATTTTGAAGCCTACAGATCGCGGATTCGGCCTGATGTTATTCTTAAACGATGATTAAGTCAATAAAGCACCGATTTGGGGGGATTTATTCTGGGTCTATTTTTGGCAGATTCCATAGGGTACTATCACAGATTTCGACTGATTTTTCCGAAATGCAATTTTCTTTCGATTCTGGATGCGACAAATCACGGAATTAAGTCGAGGCTATTCCCTACCGATAATGAAGTCTATTGATCCTATTCTGCACAGATTATAAGTCCATTAAGCACCTATTTGACCCAATTTATTTTTGGATGGCATTTTCGTAATCTGTTGGGTGATGAAAGGCCATTTTCTTTGGATTTTGAAGGCTACAGATCGCGGATTCGGCCTGAGGCTATTCTTCAACGATGATTAAGTTCATTAACCACCAATTTGGGCGGATTTATTCCTGGTCATTTTTTGGCAGATTCCAAAGGTGTGCCATCACAGATTTCGGGCGATTTTTCCGGAATGCCATTTTCTTTCGATTCTGGAGGCTACAGATATCAGAATCAGGTTGAGGCTATTCTCCACCGATAATGAAGTCTATTGATCCTATTCTCCACCGATAATGAAGTCTATTGATCCTATTCTCCATGGATCATAAGTCCATTAAGCACCGATTTGGGCCAATTTAATTTTAGATGGAATTTTCGTAATATTTTTGGCGACGAAATGCCATCTTCTTTGGATTTTGAAGGCTACTGATCGCGGATTCAGCTGAGGCTATTCTTCAACGATGATTAAGTCCATTAAGCATCAATTTGGGTGGATTTATTCCAGGTCAATATTTAGCATATTCCAAATGGGTACCATCACAGATTTCGGGCGATTTTTACGAAATGCCATTTTCTTTCGATTTTGGAGGATACATATCACAGAATCAGGCCGAGGCTATTCCCCACCGATAATGAAGTCTATTGATCCTATTCTTCTCGGATGATAAGTCGACTAAGCACCCATTTGGGCCAATTTATTTTCGGATGGCATTTTTGTAATTTTTGGGTGACGAAAGGCCATTTTCTTTGGATTTTGAAGGCTACAGATCGCCGATTCGGCCGATTTTCTAAAAAATCTTATTATGCGAATTGAGAGAGAGAGAGAGAGCTGTTAATGACGTGATCGTCTCCGCCGCCGCCTTTGAGGCTGGTAGTGGTCACCATCTGGAAGTGAGCGACGCTGGGGCCGGTCTTGTTCACCTCTTCCTCTGAAATCTTAGGGTTTGTGAGGGAGGGAATATAAGGGAGAATATCCGGCCGGTGAGTAATCGGAAGGTGGGGGGAGAAATCGAAAGGTGGGGGGAGAATATCCGGCCGGTGAGTAATCGGAAGGTGGGGGGAGAAATCGAAGGAGGGATCAGAATCGCGGTGGCGTATATGGAGGAGGCCATTTATTAAGTTTTATTTTTATTTTTTAATAGTTGTAAAATGAGGTGAAATTGTAAATATTTAAATTTAACTATTTTAATATTTTTTTAAATGGCCACGTCACTCATTTAACGGTCAACTATAATAGTTGACTGCCACATCAGCAAAAATTAACAGAGACTAACGGAGAGTGACCAAACTTGAACTTTTAAACTAATCTTAGTGACCATGAATGGAATTAAATATTTGCAATGACCAAACATGAACGATTTTAGTAAACCCAGTGACCAACCTTGCAACTAACCCCAAATCTTCCATTATTTTGGTGGACAAGTCTTCTATCAACTAGCTTTGTACCCGGCCGCTTTCATTTAATTCGTTCAAATCATTTTGGTTATATGAATTTGAGATATAGTTGTTAGGGGTGTTCAAATGGTTACCATGGTTATTACCAAACCAAATAAGGCTAAATTTCATTAACCATGGAATACAATATCATAACCAAACCATCCAAACTAATACAACAACCAAATTAACCAAACTAAAGTTTAATCGGTTTGGTTAACCAGATTAACCAATATAAAATCACATTATCATTAAATGAGAAAATTTTTATTAATTTATCAATTTACAATTTATATAATGAATAAAACATAACAATCAACACTTGGTTATAGTTGACCTTTAACATAAATACATGCAACTAAGACAATTATCTTACAGTTAGTATAGAAGTATTCACTTAGCAAAAATTTATCACAATGGTATAGGTTAATGAATTGTTGTGTTTGTTTGAATTGACTTAGCCTTTTAGCAATTTTCATCCAAATATAATGTATGAGATTTCATCTAACATAATGTATGAGATTTATCTAAATTAGGGCCTTACTTTCAAGTTTTCATCCAACATAATTTATGAGATTTATCTAAATTAGGCGTTCATATGTTGTGGTCTACAATCTACATATACAAATATACATTATAGGAACAATATCAAGTTATATATTTTATGAGTCTAAAAGGGATGAACGTTTAACTCTTGAGTGGTTATTTAAAGTATTAAGTATGTGTATATATTAGATATATGGCTAATTATTTATCTGGTTAATTTGGTTTGACTGGTTAGGAGTGTCTGAAACCAAACCAAACAAGCTAAAAATTTAACCAAACCATACCAATTATCCAAATTAACCAAACCAAATTATCCAAATAATACTGGTTAAAACGGTTACCATAATAACCACAACGTTTGAACACCCCTAATAGTTCTAACACATTCTTCAAAAATTAATTTTTTCAAACATGCACTCAATACTCAATCATACATTTTGTGTTTTAAACATCATAACTTCATATTTCAATGCCAATATAATCAACTACTTATTTTGGAATATTGATTATCGACTAAGTCGTACATAGACATATGTTAAAAATTCTCATTATCTATCATGATTAGTTATGTTTATTCAATTATCTAATATTGTAAAGCAGTTGCAATCATATTTTATGAAGTCTCTGCGTAGGTATTATGTAAACATTTTATCCAACAAAATATTGAAATGACTACCATATACAATAATTGTTTTCTATATTTGGATTGACACCAATCAGCAAACTCAAATTAATTATCTTATATAATATATAATGAACATAATGGATTTCATGAGCATATAAACACAGTGCCGCTTGAATAATAACTTGTACAATGTAAAAATATAATTTAAAAGTTTAATTCTTATAATAACTTAGACATTTGTCGTTCATTTGGAATCTATGATATACATTCTAGTTACCTTTACTAATTATCTAACTCATTCTAAAATAAAGAAAAAAGCGACACGTTCCATTTAGATAGGACAATTAACGAAATAATTTTTCATATGAAATCTTTATGCTTGCTAAAAAATCGGATTAAGAGTTAATCGACAAAAAAAAACTGCGGCCAAAACCAACCATAAAAAGAAAAAGGAAAAATAAAATAAAATCTACCGAGAATTAAGGGGAAGCGTTTAAGGCTGACTGTGGAGTGGGTGTTTTTCTCAAATCCCTTTAATATATTCTAAGATACTCATTACTCGATACCAAAACAAAAATATCCTGTTCAGATTAATCTGACCGACCAGTGGAAACAAAAATATACAAAAGAATCAAAACCAAATCCAAGCATGCAGCTTTCATCCAGGTATTTTTCACCATTTTCTGTTCATATCATATGGTTAGCAGATGATTTTGATCTTCTATCTCCTTTATTTTTTATCTGGATCGACATCAACTGCCCATGTACAAATTAACAGAACCATTGCTTCACCTCTCTCTACAGCCATGCATGAGAATGGTAGTATGCTACGCAGTTTAGCTTTTGTTTTAATCAAAACTCAGAGTGTGAACTTACCCTACAGAGGAGCACCCTTGCAGAAAGTTGCAAAGCTCACTTGGCAGGAAGGACATGCACAAGGGCGAGGTGAGGATTACAACATAGAAAGCAGTAAAGCACCAAGAGTGAGGAGAGGATGTGAGAATTACAACATATGCAAAATCCTAATAGCTCTCAAAGGAATCTTTCTATGCCCGAAGTTGATAGATCTGCACAACTTCACATCATCAAAGTCGACACCAGGAAAGACTTGTATATGCTCATAAACTTTGCCACAAATGCTGCTCATACAACGATAAGACACAACAAGAATTCATTACCCACAAAATGGAGGCATACAGTTTATTTGTATGATAATATGTATAATCTGAAATTACCTTCGAGATGAAATATGGCTTTCTGCCCCAATCGCATTCTATGTTCCTGTTCAACAATAAATCAACAAATATCAAGACAAATGTTCCTCACAAAAACTAATTGAAACCATCATGTTGATGTATTAGAGGAACTCACATAATATGCAGCCCAGTGACAGACGTCATGCTTCAAATCATCATCCAGTTTCTTCAGTAACTCAAAGAGAAGTCTCTGTTCAGAAATAAGGACAGTCATTAGTTAGGTGGACTAAAATAATAGGTACGGAAAAATTATATAGGGAAACTTGTCTACCTTCAACAAAATCTCAGGAGGAATACAGTTGACAAGTAGTTCATACAACTTTCCTCGAACCTCGAACAATCTATCAAATTCAGTGGTTGTTTGATTAGAAATTAGGGGAAAAGAAGCCAAAACTTTGAAAGCTATGGACACAGATGCTCGCTTTCAATGTTATACCTTTTAGGACTCTGCTCCTTCATTATGTCAGAAGATATGGTGGAAACATAATCTTCCCACTCCAATGAAGAGATTTCTTGATTATTTTTGAAAGGGTACCTAACACATGAGCGGGATAGAAATATTAACATCCAAAAGAACAGACTTCGGTAAATGAAAGAAGACATAGTGTAGAGGACTAGAGCTTAACTGTTGAACCCGACAAGTCTCAAATGAGAGTATGGCTCTCCTTAAACTTCTATTTGATTTTTCAGCAATACGAGCAGTAAATCCAGGTGGAATTTCCAGCCCTTCTTTCTTCCCGATGAAGTCCAGAACCCTAACTATCTGTTATAATAAAGTCCACCGAAAGCAAAAAGCATCGACGGAATAGACAGTTCTGTTTAACACCATTGACACGGTCATCTATTGATTAGAATCAAGGATATGAAGAAGTAACTTTCCAACCTGTTCCTGTGCAGGAGCATTTATTCGAACATTCAGACAACGGGACCGAATAGCCTCAGTAACCTTCGAAGAACTGTTACAACAGAGAATTAGCCGGCAGGAAGTGCTATATTTCTCCATAGTTCTTCGTAGAGAATGTTGGGCCTCTCTGGAAAGCTTGTCAACCTCATTAAGCACAACCACTGATGGAAGACAAAAAAAAAACCTCCGCATGAACCGAAATCCAGGAACTCCTATTGCTTTTACTAGCTACATGCTCCCTAGTCAATGATCACTAATTCAGATGTATATGGACGACTTTGCTAAACAACATGCGAAAACCAAATTCAGTATGTTGTATATGGCTATCTCTCACTTATAGACTCGTCACTTCAATCACACAAAAAGACTACAACTACCGAGTAGGAAAAGTAAAAAAAAAAAAGCAGTACCAAAAAGAACAAAACAGAAAGGATGCACAAATAACAGCAGTCCATTTACCTTTGTATGTTTTCTTTCCTTTTGAGTCAATTGGCCTATTCCTAGCCATCTCTTTGATAACATCCTGCACAACATATCTATCCTGGAATCCCGCATCACTGGGACTTAATTCCACATGGTTTGCAGTTGATAATGTAGTCAACTCGAGATCAATTGTTCTATTGCCAGCCTGAAAAACCATAGGATTGACGAACAAAAGGTAACGAACACAAATTGGAGAAAAATCAGAGGAAAAGAAATGAAAAGCTAAAAAAAAAACGCGAAGGGGGCATTTGCGGCCAGAGATAGAAATTGAAGGACTACTTGTCCCCTAAGCCATCTGTGGCCACAACTAACATTTTCACAGCAAAGTTGTGTTTTTAATGGTTCAGTCCACGTATAATGACAACCAAAGGGTCCCAAACATGAGGATTCACAAAGAAAGCCACAATGTTCAATAACAAATGAGCAAAACCAGCACAATCACCATCACTAAAACTAAGCCGTAATACAAATGCACGAGAAGAGCATAATGTTGAGATAAATAAACGATTTAAACTTACATCAACTTTCCAAGTCCTATTCTCCACCTTCACCTGCCATGAAACAACATCTAGCCATTAGCATATTAGGAGAATGATCTCTTACTACTTCCTTCTCCTATTCAGCACATGCAATGATTTCAATCCCAGTAAGGGGAAGAGCAAATAATGAACAGGTTTACCTTTTCAACGCCGGGGCCGTATATTTGACGGAGCAAACCCATGATCAGAGTTTTCTTCCCAGAACCAGACGGGCCATAGAAGAGTAGATGAGGCAATCCTGCTCGGCAACCTGAAAAGCAATTAGTGGGTAAGAATTCTGATTAACAATAAGAACATGGGACAAAGAAAAAAAAAGTTAAAATGAACTTGGCAAGAGTAGCATGAACGAGTACAAGTTTCTTGAGGTTTTGGGCGATGTCTTCATGAACGATCACTTGCTCTAGGGTTTTGGGTCTGTACTTGTCCACCCACAACATCTTCGAATCTTTGCTTCAGCTGCAAATGATTGCACTATACTAACTTCAAAAACTTACAAACAAAACATAGCGAACAGCGAATGGAGCTCCAACCCGAAATGGAAAAGCAGGAGTCAAAGAAGGTTGAACGAATGGCGCACATGGAAGCAGAAGGGCGGGAAAGAGAAGGCGGCAAAAATGATTCTCGCCGGAGAGTTAACTTCCTCGATTGCGCGAGTAAGTGAGTGAGTGATTTGATCGGAGACGGCGAGAGACACGGGCAAGGATCGAAAGTTCGAGAACAGAACGTCGGAAAGTAACCACAGAGCAAACCGAGTGAAAGAAGAACGAGAAGAACTGAGAGTAATCTCTCCCGACCACTGAAAGTTTTCTCGGGTCGGGTAAAACCGTGACGCCCGACTGCGTGGGCCCGAGTAGGCTGTCTCTCGTCTTTTTGGTGGAAAGCTGATCTAACTTTCCCGCGTTAAGTGGCGGGCTTGATTGGGCCACTGCCTTCAGTTTTAATTAATCAGTCTTTGGATGGCCCGAGCAAGAATATACCAATAACAAATGGAGGCCCATATTCCACTTTTTGGCCCACGAACATATCGGTTCAGCATAAACTGGTTCCGACCGGTGCGGCTGCGCGGCAACCAAAGCGGGGTAAACCAGCCTCTGCAATTTGAAGCTTGCAGTGGAAGAAGAAGAAAGGGAGACGACGACGAGATGACAGAGGAAACGAAGTTCAGCGTGATGGTGAGCATGTTCGATTGGATACAGAAGAGCAAATACTCGGCCAAGAAGCGCTCCAAGTTCCGCAAGTTCCTCGATACTTTCTGCAAGCCACGCGACTACTTCACCGCCGTTCGGTTGATTCTGCCGGGGCTCGATCGGGAGAGGGGTTCCTATGGGCTGAAGGAGTCGGTGCTGGCGAATTGCCTGATTGATGCACTTGGCATGTCCAGAGACTCTCCTGACGCTCTCCGCCTCATCAATTGGCGGAAAGGCGGTGCGAAGACTGGCGCCAATGCCGGAAATTTTGCTCTTGTTGCTACCGAGGTTCTTCAACGAAGGCAAGGGATGGCTTCCGGTGGACTGACGATTAAGGAGCTTAATGAGTTGCTTGATCGACTGGCCTGTAGCGAGAACAGGTTTGTATTTCTTAATGTGGGGCGAAAAGTGGACTGATTTTGATTTTGAAGTTAATGCAATATTGTTCGTAGGCCCGAGAAAATTTCTATTCTTGCTACTCTGATTAAGAAGACGAATGCTCAGGAGATGAAGTGGGTTATCATGATTATTCTTAAAGGTTTGTTTTATCGATTCTTCTCTTTTGCCGCTCTTTCTCTTTCCTTCCGCCACAAATCAGAAACAGGACTGAACTTTCTTTTTTTGTTTGATTATTGGTTGCAGATTTGAAATTGGGATTGAGTGAAAAGAGTATATTTCATGAATTCCATCCGGATGCAGAAGACTTGTTTAACGTCACCTGTGACTTAAAGTTGGTCTGTGAAAAGTTGAGGGACCGGCATCAAAGGCATAAGCGCCAGGTGAGTTTCCCTGAACAAGGCGCTGCCTTTCCATGAAATCAATTAGCCCGAGCTGTCACCTGGTTATGGACCAGCAAGCAATGATCTTCTACTGTCCTCATTGTGGAATTTGTGCTCTGTGCCAACAGAAAATAGCATCTTTAGTTTCCACTTATCTGCCACATAATGTTTGACAGGATATTGAAGTTGGCAAGGCTGTTCGCCCTCAGCTAGCTATGCGAGTTTCTGATGCTCAAGCTGCATGGAAAAAGGTTTCTCGTTTAGTGTAGTTATGCTCACAGTAATCATTCCTTCATTTCTATACTTGAGGTCATGCATCCTCCTGGATGCATTGGGTTCATGTTAGCATTTGCCAGCAAGAACAACAATGTAGATCTAGTATTCATCGTACTTGTTGCATCTGTCTATGTAGCTTCATGGTAAGGAAGTAGTGATGGAATGTAAATTTGACGGTGATCGGATCCAAATCCATAAGAATGGTGCTGAGGTCCACTTCTTCTCTAGGTAGGTTGTAGTGTTTTCTAAAGTATTGGATGCTTCTTGTTTTATTTTGGTAACTTGGTTTATAGTTGTATTAGTTATCTGCTCAGATCACGTCTCCTTGGTGTATGGAAGTTGTTGTTGAAGTGCTTCCAAGTGTCATTCTTTATATCAAATGTGCACTGCTATGCAGGAACTTCATTGATCACTCTGAATATGAGCACGGAATGTCAGACATCATTCAGCAATGTGTTTTGGCTGACAGGTTGGTGCCCGTTTCTCCTTATATTTTTGTGACCTTAATATATCGTGATAGACCCGTGCAAACAAAAAATGAAATGAGTCACTTGATAATGGCTGGAAACATCTTAATTCCCCCTATTAATACACAAGCTGGTGATTTTTAAAAAAATATAGAAGATAATGACTGGAAAGACCTCCAGACTCCAGTTACCTTATATGGTTCTGAAGGGAGATGTACAGTGAATCATCGTGCTTTGAATTGGCTGAGCTGAAAGGATTTGTCTGAAATATAGCACTTTCTTGGGTTTCTTTATGATAGGTGCATACTCGATGGTGAAATGTTGGTCTGGGATAGTTCTTTGAATCGATTTGCAGAGTTTGGTTCAAATCAGGAAATAGGTTAGTTGGAACTGTGATTTCAAGACTCTTGGTTTGGCTAATTGTATGTAGCATTAAAGACATCTGTTTGTCTGTTCACAGCAAAGGCTGCAAAAGATGGACTCGATAGCCATAAACAGGTGTGCCTTTTCATTTCCCTTTTTTTCTCTAGCCCTACCCTGCTCGACATGAGTTCGATTTTGATTTACTTGTTTTGCTGTTGCAGTTGTGCTGTATCCTTCACGTTGATTAAACTCAAAGCTGAGCCTCAACTACTCCGTTGTTATATTGGATAAATAGATGGGCCCACTGAAGCTTAAGCTATCTCAAGTTATTTGGTCTACCTTGACATCAGGTTAAGATGTTGCATTTGATATTCTTTATGTTGGGGATACTAGCGTGATTCACCAAAGTTTAAAGGAAAGGCATGAACTTCTCCGTTCAGCAGTAAACCCTGTCAAGGGTCGATTGGAGATCTTGGTACCTAGTGGAGGCTTGAATAGTCATTGCCCTCCTGGTAAGGAAAACCTTGTGAATTGAAGGAAAGGCGATGCATTTTTTATGGGTGTAGCCACAATTAACCCATCCTAAGAGTATATTGAATAAATTAAAATATAATGCTGAAGCACTTTCTTTAGATATGGTTTATCTTCATTTTCTGATTTCATTTGATTCATTTTAGGATATGCAGTCCATTGATCTGCCCCGTTGGGTTTGACATAATAGTTGTATAGTCGAGTCCTTTCTCTGAATTGTCTTAATTTTGCATAATAAATTCCCGCAAGAAAAACTGGCGCTTAAGTATTTTCTAGCTCATGCAGGGGAACCTTGCTGCTCGCTTATTGCTCATAGTCTGGATGATGTAGACAAGTTCTTCAAGCAAATAGTTGAGAATAGGTTAACCTTCTCTCATTCTTCTCCCTAATAAGTTTTTCCTTACTTTTATGATTTCATGCATTGTAGTGGACTCATGAGCCCCATTTTCATGTTAGAGATGAAGGGATTGTGTTGAAAGATCTTGACTCCAAATGGGAACCTGGGGACCGAAGTGGAAAGTGGTTGAAACTTAAACCCGATTACATTCGTGCTGGTTCAGATTTAGATGTTCTTATCATTGGTATATCCCTTGTCTTCAGTTCTTCATTCTATTTTCCACTGAACTATTTCTCTGAGGTTTGCTCCTCTTTACATTCTACTTCTTGGCAGGAGGGTACTATGGTTCAGGGCGACGAGGAGGAGAGGTCGATTTCATAGTCATGTTACTGATTTTTTTTTAACTCCAAGTCGTTTTTTTCATGACAAGTGAACCTGGAAAGTTGCTAGAGTTAGCAAATTCAAGCTTTCCCTCCCTTGTAAAATGCTGCAGGATAGAATTTTTATTGAGAGATTTTATTTGATCTTTGCATTTTTATTGGAAATGAGATACATAAGCCCATCAAATTGTAGGTGGCTCAATTCCTGGTGGGACTAGCAGAACGTCCGTCGGCAGATACATATCCGAGACGGTTAGTAAATTGAATATTAATTACAAAGAAAATGGCGTTACAGCTTTCCTTCCCCCCATGCTTTAAGATGCCTAAGAATGTAGCTGCTCTGTAGGTTCATCTCGTTTTGCAGAGTCGGTACTGGATTGTCTGATGACGAGCTAAATGCTGTTGTTACAAAATTGAAGCCTTACTTTAGGTAAGTTTTGGGAATTGTTGACCTTGTTAAGCACATTACACTTCAGTTTTATTGAAGCTCTTTATTGACAGTAGTCCTGTGCTTGTATCTGAATCCAGACTGTAGTTTCTTCATAAATTTCATCTGTGTACTGCAGGAAATATGATTATCCAAAAAAGGCACCTCCAAGTTTCTACCAAGTTACAAATAACTCTAAAGAGAGACCAGATGTGTGGATTGAGAGTCCTGAAAAGTACAATTTATGTATCACTTCATGTCCATGTGAAATCATGATTGTAAAGATGGCCTTCTAGTACTTGTACCTTATGATCTTTCTCTTGTCCATGATTTGCAGGTCAGTGATTCTTTCCATCACTAGTGACATTCGAACTATAAGGTCTGAGGTAAGACCTTTTACCATGGTTCTGTCAGTAAACTACCTACTTAATACCGCCACACTTTTAGTTTATTGCAATTTCACTTGGCTCTCCTTTCTAATATTCTTGTTCTGTACATGTATGTATGTGCCAATGCAATCTGATTGAGGTTTAATTTTTCTGTTCTCCAGGTATTTGCTGCACCATACAGCTTAAGATTTCCCCGGATTGACAGAGTACGGTATGACAAACCATGGCATGAATGTCTTGATGTACAGTGTAAGAACAAACAATGTGCTTACATTTTTTCTTTCCCTATTGTCTCGTGTTT